TTCTTTTGTTTGGGATTGCATTAGTCCTATAGATTGATGTAGTGGTGGTGTCATCTTTGTTGTGCTTGGCCCTTATTATGTTTCTTTGCTTCCTTATATTTTCTGAGTTATCTTTTAGTTTTCTAGTTTTGATGTCTCATGGTATTTTTTCCTTAGGTTTATTCCTAGATCCTGATAATTTTTTTTCTACTCAAATATGACATTTTTATGTCATATTTCATTTTATTTCCTGATATTTAGGAATACAGTTGGTAGTTTATATATCTATGTATGAATGGCAGATTTACTAAATTCATTTTAAACATCTTATTTTGAAGTTTAATATATGTACAATAGGTTTCAGCTTTTGAAGCATGTAATTTGATGAGTATATAAAAGATGTATAAACCCATAAACGTTTTACTAAAACAAAAAAGTTGTGTTTTATTATACCTACTAATCTCCTCTGAATGCTTTTTCCCATCTGTCTGCCTCTCTTTCATCTACTCATGTAGACTCATGCAGGCTGCAATTATATTGGCTTCCTTGACTCAGCGTGGATATTCTCAGATTCGTTCGTAGTATTATGCTTATTACTAATTTTTTTCCTTTTTAAAAAATTTTAATTAAAAACACTTATTTTATGTGTATGAATGTATTTCCTGTATGTATGTAAATGCACCTGTGTTGTGCAAAGCTTGCGGAGGTCAGAAGAAGGCATTGGATCCATGGAACTGGAGTTACAAATGGTTGTTAGTCACCATGTGGGTGCTAGGAATTGAACCTGGGTCCCCTGTAAGAGCAGCCAGTGCTTTTAACTGCTCAGCTATCTCTCCAGCCCTGAATTTGTTTCTTTTAAACAGCTTCTTTGTTGTTGTGTATAAAGCTGGGTAATATGTTCTTAGATCCATTGGCCTCCTGATAACCATTAAGGTTCTCTCAAGCTTTTCATTATTGACAATCAGTGCTGTGAGGGTTTGTTTACTAGTCCTTCTGTGGGGATATATTTTTACTTCTCTTTGGTGTCTAGAATTGGAGTAGCTTAGCTCTTAAATTACTTAATGTTTATTTTTATACAATACTGCCAGGCGGCTTTCCAAAGTGAGTGTATTTATTTATATGCCCATCATCAACTTTAAAATATTCTCATTTTCGACATATTTTCCCCAGATACTTGTTATCAACAATCCTGATGTGTTTGTGGTGCTGTCAAATGTGCATATACTTTTTTGTGATGTACTTACTCAGATTTTTGTCCATTTTTAAAACTGCATAGTATTTCTTATTCTTGGTTTGAAGAATCATTTCTATGTTTTGGACAATTTACTTGACATTGTATGTTTTAAATTTTTCTTTTATATTTTTTTTATTTTCATGTCTTATTTTAACTTTTTTTGTCTATTTAGAGACTACAATGATTGTTTTTCTTGTTTTCAGAATATTTAGTGTGTTAGCATTAAAATTTAGATTTATACTCCTTTGAATTTATTTGTTATTGTTTTGTTTTGTTGTTTTTTGAGAAAGTGTCTCCCTGTAGCCCCAGCTGGCCTGGAACTTGCTGTGGAGACCAGCCTGGACTCCGGAAGAATAGGAAACAATTTTAGCTTTTGAGCCATTTCTTCAGCTGTATATTTTAAATAACTGGGCTCTGGTTGTGGAACTATATGTGGACTTTTTCCTTTGTCCCTTTGGCATAAATCTATTCTTTCATTGTTGGCATACTGGTTTGATGACTATAATTTGTACTAAATATTGAAGTTATAAAGTATGTATCTTCCAATCCTGTTGTTGTTTGAAAAGTTATTTTGACCATCGTAGCTCATTTGTATTTGCATGTAGATCTTTGTGTCATATTGTTAATATCTATTTGGAAAATCTGTTAGAATATTATTTGAGATTTCTTAGAATTATACACATTTTATCTGTGTGCATATACACATGTATGTATATATACATAGATGCTTATATATCAGTATGGGGGATATTGACATTTTAGCAGAATTGAATGTGGTATATCTACTACTTTTTTTTCTGATCTGTTAGTTTTCACTGTTTAAGTTTTATTCCTATTTTGACACATTTACCAAATAGCATTTTATGTTTTTGTATACCCTGAAAATAATTGCATTTTGAATTTTTTCCAATTGTTCATTATTAGTGTGAAGAACTGTCAACATTATCATTTACTCTTTCTCCTGAGAATGTGTGATAGCACAATCCTTAAGTACGAGTATTTAGAAGTCTGAAAGAGTACATTAGAACCTTGAGTTCCAAATCTGACTGTGTTACCCAGAGAGTAGGAGGCTGACCTGTGCTACTAGTAAAGCCCTGTCTTAAGAGAACAACAAAATCAAATGTGATGCCTTCTCTTTTCACATTTGTATGCATTTAATACTTTTCTACTTTGACTGAGACCACTGAAATAATGTGAACACTAGTGGTGGAAGCAGATCTGTATCAGGGGCAGCCAGGTAGTCTTTAGTTTGTTGTTGTTGTTTTAACCTTTTTAATTGAACTTTTGTGTGTTTTATACAGAATATATCAATCAGTCTTAGTCATCTTTATATTCCCTTCTCCATGGTACCTTCCCATAGCCCTCCCACTGGAATTCATACATTTTGTCATTTGTGTTAAGCTCTGTTGTGTCAAGTTAGTATCCGCAGATGTCCTTCAGTGCAAGTCCAACTACTGAGGTCTCATCAGCCTATCTTGAGTCTTTTGTTTTAGGAACATCAGCTCTTCCTCACCTAGCAGTAATCAGTTGCCAATATTTCTTCAGCTAAGATTGGGGTCTGCTGTCCAAGTCTTCAGTTCTATGCTGGGTTTTTTGGCCTGCTTGAGTTTGCATGGGTCCTGTGCATGCTGACACATACTGTAAGTTCATGTGAGCAGGGTCCCAGTAGCTTGTAGGGCTCTATTTCCATATGGCCATGCATGCCCTCCTTGGTTCTTATAGTCTTTCCACCCCCTCTTCAACAGTGGTCCCTAAGCCCTAGGTAGGTGAAGTTTACTATAGGAGTCTTATCCAAGGACAAGCATTCTGCAAACTCTTAATCTCTATGCTTTGGCCATTTGTGACCTTTTCTGTTCCTGGCCCTCTGTTGCTTGAGGGAGCTTCATTAATGAGAATTGAGAGGTTCATTAGTGTCTTCTTTACCCTTGTTGGCTATGTTCCATGAGCCTTAGGTACAGAGGTTGCATTGTAGATGTGCCACTTAGACTTGGGAGATTCACAGATACCTGATATTGCTCATTTTTATCTTTGTCTCTCTTATAATTTCCTTCATTAAAGTTTATCAATTTTATTGATCTTTTAAAAGCCACTTTGTGTTACAGCAAGTTTTAAATTTTCTGTATATTCTATTTCATTGATTTCTGCTCTTTTATTATTCCTTCGCCTCTAACTATTTGGGCAAATGTACATCCAAGGGAAATTAAGTATGTATTGATCCTTCCCTTTAGATGGCAAAAACAGAACTCCTGTGTAGTTGTAGATATTCTATACTTCCTGTTTATCCAGTGTCCACCTCTGTTTTTGCTGTTTTCATGATCTATTCTTATTCTGTACCTCAAACTGAGAACTTCAAAGAAGGTTGAGGGAAAGTATTTTCATATTACATTTATGGAACAAATTATTATTTTATTTTTTTATTGAATTTTTGTGTATTTCATACAGAACATCTCAAACAATCTTAATCATCTTTGTATACGGCCCCCACCGACACTCTCCCATAGACCCCACACTGGAACCCATATACTCTGTCATCTGTGTTAAGACCCAGTGTATCAAGTCAGTGTCCCCAGACGTTCCTCAGTTTCCAGAGTCCCTTGTTTTAGGAAGAAAAGCTCTTCCTCACCTAGTAATAATCAGTTGCCAGTATTTCTTCTGCTAAGATTGGGGTCTGCTGTTCATTTCCCCAGTTCAGTGCTGGGTTTCTGTCTGCATGGGTTTGTATGGGACTTGTGTATGCTGACACCAATGCCACAGAATCATATGAGCAGGGTCCCAGCAGCTTGTAGGACTCTTATTTTCTTATGGCCATGCACCCCTTCTCTGGTTCTTACAATCTTTCTACCCTCTCTTCTGTGATGGTCCCTGAGCCCTGTGTGGGTGAAGTTTAACATAGGAGTCCTGTCCAAGGACTAGCAGTCTGCAGACTCTCAATCTCTACGCTTTGGCCATTTGTGACTTTTTGTGTTCCTGGCTCTTTGTTGCTTGAGGGAGCTTCATTAATGAGAACTGAGAGATTCATTAATGTCCTCTTTACCCCTCTTCTATGTTCCGTGCACCTTAGGTGTAGAAGTTGCATTGTAGATCTGACACTTAGGCCTGGGCAATTCATAGACAATGTCTGTGTGTTACCAGTTGTGGTACTTGGTAATAGTCTCTGACTGGTGCCAAATAAGCTTCTTTGATGAGTGGTAAGTGGACTATTGAGACGAATTAGTTTTAAAATTTTACTTATTTTTATTTTGTGTGTGTGTGTGTGTTTGTGGCCTGCCTGTATGTATGTGTACCACATGCATGTAGTACCTGTGGAGGCCCGAAGAAGGCGTTGAATCCCCTGGAACTGGAGTTACAGATGGTTGTTAGCTGCCAGGGCAGTGGAACCCAATCCAGGTCCTCTGCAAGAACAGCCAGAGCTCTTAACTGCCGAGTCAGCTGTCCAACACACAGACAAATTCTTGATAAAGTTTTGTAAAGTTAATAACAAAATAGCTACATAAAATAGTCAGTTGGCTTCAGAGTTAGGATAGCAGTTTTGAAATTAAGTGCATACTAACACTGAACAAATATATTCATTTACTTTTGAGACTTATAGGAATGAGAAGAAAATAACTTGTAGTGTCCAATAAAATCTCTTCTTAAATGCTAAATACAAAAATAAGTTTGAATATATCCCTTCTCTGTAAATCAAGTCAGATTTACATTTCAGTATTGATGTCTCAGGTATATCTCTATGATACAGGCTTTATTCAAGATACCATAATAACTCATAACTTCTCCCCTTGGTTTTAAGCTATTTCCGTGAGAGAAGAAACATTACTACCTCAGCTGGAAAATCTGCGATACTGCAAAGTGAGTCTGTGTGTTATACTGTCTGTAAATTATTTTGTTTTCATAAGATCATCATGCAGTTCTGTTAGAATTGTGCTTGAGAAGGCAGCTAGTAATGGGGTGACTGTTCAGTGTCAGCAGCACTAAAGAAACTTTGAAGATAACTGCATAAAAAAGAAATAGGCACTGGGTCTCGTGGAAATTTGCACGTTTATACCAAAAGAATTTTTAATACATTCTTCATTTAATATTAGTCACAACCGAAGGTATGTGACTTATGAAATGTTTTCTTGTAGTCTGAGCTACAGGATAGAGATGTATGGGACATAGTTTTGCTTTGGTAAGTGGTCTGACACTGTTTTCTTGGTAACTTGATTATTGACTGAGACTGTCTTTTTGAAAAATCTGCTTGAGCAAGTTCAGGGACATTCTTCTTGACAGTAAAGTATCAAATGAAAGGCTAGTCTGGAAGATGGCCTTGTGGAAATGCAAGTACTGAGGATTCTTGTAGAACAATACAATTTAAAGATGGAGGACTCTTTCTTGAAATTACTCCTTTGTAAGTGTATTAGTAGTTGAGAGAGATTATATTGCAATTGTTCTGAGGTTTCAAGTGGAACCTAGCTGTTATGTCAATGAACTGTTTATAATTGTTTATCCAGTGTTAGAATGAAGACCCTGTCTTTTAAAATATTCTTGTTTTTTTGAACTAGCCTAAATGACACCCTGCCAGTTTCTGTAGTAGATAAGATAGGCAGAGTTCTGGGTTCTGTTTATGTGGCTCTCTGAAGCAGGGCATATACTACTGGTTCTGATTTCAGAATTAGTGTCCTGGTGGTCAAGTGAGTGGTGTGTATTAAGAAGACCATGGGGAGAGTTTATTGGGAGGTAAGAATTGGGAGTATAATTTTGGACTCTCACCAAATAATCTTTAAGTCACGTTATTGCTATAAAATGATTAAGCACATGCATTTCTCTCTTTTTTTTCACTATTCCACATTGTTCATATTTTTCATTCTCATATTTTAATTTTCCCAAAAGATTCAAATGAGGAGACCTCATCTTCCATCTTTCCTTATGGGGAGACCTTTCTCTTCCAGAGACTAGAAAATTCCAAGGTTGGTCCCATACATTTTATGTTTCCATAACCAGTTATTTGCCCTGCTGCTTATCTGTGCCTTTTCATTTTTCTATATGCTATTTGAAGGATTCATTATAATAAAGAGTGAAATCTCCAGTATAGTTTCAGTTCAGTAAAATTATGATGATTCATATTGTTAGCTATATATCATGAAGATGCATTTTCATACTGAGTTTAGCTGTATAGAATAGTGTGTTTAAAATTTTCCTACAAGATAAACTTACTACACTTTAAAAAATTGGAAAAGAAGATAAAATAAAACCTCCCTAGATTTGACTTTGCCTCCTACTTACTAGTTTCTTAACCTTGAGAAAAGAGAAACTGGGAGAAAAAAGTATGTCAGGAGTAACTGAGAAAGTAACTCAGTGGTCAGGTGCTTGTCTGGCATGTACAAAGCCCTGGATCTGATCCGCAGCACCATACCATAAGGGAAATTAGAAAAAAATTTAAAATACAACCAAGCGAATCACAGGGAAGTAAAAGGATATGTTTTTTTTTTTAGGTAACATTGTTTCCTAAGTTAATAAGTTACTTTAAATTAAACAATGAGAAGGACATCAAAAATGTTTAATGTAGTGTCTTAGATTGTTTTGAATTGAAAATTGATCTAAGTCATTGGACTTGTTTAATAAAAATAAACTTAGACTTTGTAGGTCTTTGTAAAAAACAGTTATGCCATAAATATTATCAAAAGCAACAGACGAAACACTGAATATATTTTTTTCTAACAGAAGAGATCTATAAAGAATGAATTTTGGGCCCATGAGGATGCAGTCAAAGGCGAAGCAAACCCTGCAGGCAACTCGATTTTAATCAAATCAAGGTATGCTGCTGTGACGGCTGATGCATCTCTTCAGAATAAAATGGTTTCAAATATTGGCTTCTTGCTCATAGTATAATATTGCATTCCTAGGAAAATAGTTCACATGGGTAAGTTCAAAGCTGTCCTTTTCTTTCTGAATGTTTTCCTGACAGTTCTCATTTTAATAACTAAATTATAGTGTGTAAATCAAGTGGCTGCTTTTAGTTTAGACCCTGAGTGGTATTCTGTAGCAGATCATTTCTGTGTTAGCTAACTGCATCCAGTCACCCTTGCCCTATGTAGCAAGCATGCAGTGACTGTGATGCTCTTGAAGATGGCTGTGTGTTAATATAAAGCAGGAAGGGACAGATCCAAACAAGACTGAGCGATAGAATTTTACAAATGTAATGTCGCCTGTGTGTTAGATATACATTGTCGAGAACAGCATATAATTATTCAGTTATTTTTGTAACATGTAAAATAAAATTATTTTTAGGACCCCAAATTTACACTAATTTTTTTTTTTTTTTTTTTTTAAGAGACAAGGTCTCACTATGTGGCCCTGACTGGCCTGGAACTCAGTATGTAAACCAGGCTAGCCTCAATATCACAGTGATCAACCTTCCTCTGCCTCCCTAGTGCTAGGATTAAAAGGCAAGAGCCAGCATGCCCTGGCTGTTAAAAAAAATTTACATTCTGTATTTTGCTCAGTTTTATTTGGACTTAGCATACTGGATTATTATCTCATATTTACTTGATCTTCTACTTGTATTTTCCAAAGTTACGCATGTGAATTTCCTTCAGTTAAAAAAAAATATCCCTTCAGTAAGTGATACAAATCAATTTTTATACAAAATGTGAAAGGGCTAGGTTAAATCATTCTTGAAGAACATAATAGTTTTAGAACACTGTTCACAAAGTTGTGATGTGACCTATAGGCATGTTGTCTCCTTGAGTAGTCAAAACTTTTTAATGAGTTTTATTTTGCATAAATGACCCAGTGAATTGATTGTGTCATTTCTGGAATGTATAGTCCCACACTTAGCTATTTGAGTGCATTCCAGTAAATGTTATGCCTTATGCAGCTTTCACCTTCGGATAGACGCTGACACTTGTCTTGTTGGCCAGCAGTGTGGTGCCATTTTTCCTCATTAGCAATGTAACATAGTACTGAGCAGTCAGCTCTGTGCTCTGATATGTTACATTAGTGTGGAACGTGGAGTCCTTGAGGTCCATTAGACAGGTAGTTTAAGTGGGAAATTATGTCTTCAAATAGTTGAGTCATTGGTTCACTATGTTACCTGGAGACTAGAAAGTGGGCAAGATGTTTAATTGTGCTCTTGATGATGTTTAAAATTTTATGCCACAAAAAGCATAGCTTTCCATTGTTACCACCTGCACTCAACCTCCCTAAGGGACAGAGTCAGAGAAATATTTATATTCTTTTCTGAAAAAGTTTGTGTGTGTGTGTGTGTGTATGTGTGTGTGTGTGTGTGTGTGTGTGTGTGTGTGTGTGTGTACATACGTTTCTATGTGTGTGCACCTGTGTGCAGGTCTGCGTGTGTGTGGAGGCCGAATTCGATGTTAGACGTCCTCCTCAATCACTCTCCACCTTATAATTTTGAGGCATGTTCTCCCATTGAACCTCATAGTTGATGACTGGCTGACCAGCAAGCCCCAGGGATCCTCCTGTCTCTGCCTCTTCATCACTGGCATTGCAGGCACATATCATCACTCTCAGCTTTTGACATGGATCCTATGGATCCAAACTCAGGCTCTCCTGCTTGGATAGCAAGTCCCTGGAAAGTATTTTTTTTTAATGGAGCTTTTGTAATTTCATATAACAGTTCCTAATCAAATTTAGACCCCTTCCCTCATCCATGCCCCCATTACCCCACCAGACCTTAACACATTCTGCCATACATGCCATGTCCTATCCAGTCAAGCATTTGCATCCAGATGTCCCTCAGTGCAAATTTGTCTGCTGAAGTCTAGTCAGCCCATCTAGAGATTGTATGTAAGGCGTATTCTCCCTCACCCAGCAGCAGTCAGTCTCCAGTAATTTTCAGTTTAGGGCCAGCCCACCACCCATTTCTTTCCTCCCTCTGGGCCGTTGTTTAATTGAGTTGGCTTGAGTCCTGATGTGCTTGATGCCACCATTGCCACAAGTTCACATGTGCAGGCTTCCAGTGGCCTGAAAGCCTTTGCTTTGGTTCATGAACACAGGGACTCTTTCTGCCCCCTTTTCCTTGATGGTCCCTGAGCTGTGGGTGGGTGAGGTTCAATATAGGAGTCCTATCCGAGGATACGCACACATTCTGTAATCTTCGTGGTTTTTAAAACTTGGCCCGTTGTGACCTCCTGTGTGCATCACACTCTGTTGCATAAGGAAGCTTCACTGGTGAGAGCCAAAGGATGCATTTGTTTTCTCTCTACCCCTTGTTTTGCTATGTTCCATGAGCCTTAGATATAGAGGTTCAACCATAGTAGATGTGTCACCTAGTACTGGGCATCTCTCAAATGTATATTCTCTATGTCTGACCAGTTGTGGAAAGGTTTTTTTAAATTAGCAGATGGGGCAATTGAACACTAAGATCCTTCTGACTTTAAAATTCTATGATTGGTTGGTTGTTTTATAAGTTAAAAAATAGCAACTGACATATTAAAACCATCATTTTGAGATGTTAATACTATTCTTTTCCATTTAGCGTCTATGATAAGAGGAAGGAAAAAGTAAGTGAAGACAAAGTAGAAGATATTTGGATACCTCGAGAGGATAAAACTAATCTTCTGAAAGATTCCGCTTCTGAGTCAGAATACTCCACAGTAGAAGAATGCTTTCAGAGTTTAAGAAGAAAAAATTCAAAGTCGCCTAAGTCTAGGACTCAAAAAGCATTCTACTTGGACCCTTTCAATAGGCACAGTTATCCTTTAAGCTCCACAAGCGGCAATACTGATTCATCGACCATCTCAAATGCCATATCTCCTTATGCCTGCTTCTATGGAGCTTCTGCATTGAAGGTTAAATCGGGATGGCTGGACAAACTCTCTCCTCAAGGGTATGCATTGGTTCATTTTCTTTCTTAAGTAGCAGTTTTGATAACTTCAAGCTTATTTTTACATCTGCCAGTTTTCTGACCCCACCTCTACATACATCCCATACCTATTTTAGAGACTTTTAGTAGATGTTTACAAATGCTGTTCTTTAAACACAGTGGGTATGTGAAATGCAGTGCCACAAAAAGGTTTGAAATAATAAAATAAAACTGAAACTCATGAGTTCACCTCCAGATCCTCATTGTTAGCATCTAACTTTACACTACAACTACAACATATCCTACCTTGTAGCCAGGAAAAGTATCACAGACCAAGTTAGCATTATTTGGCCCACACTGTTTGTGTTTTGCTCATGCCATAACAGTGTTCTGTTTGAGAGTACAATGCTTATTGTAGTGAGGGGAAAGATGTCATTGCTAGATTTAGTTCTTTGCTGTTATTGCTACATTTTTATGGTTTTTTTAAGTGTGGGCAAATGATATATCAAGGATGTTTATTCTTTTTAAATCATTTTAATATATTTATGTATTTAATATTCTAATACATATAATCAATATAAACAGTTTTATTATGATATTCTTGTACTTTGATCATACTGTTCTGATTTTTGTACATTGCTCAGAAGTCAAAGCTGTTGAATATACTTTTATAAAATTTATTTTTGTGTTTGTGTGTGTGAGAGATGTGTGTATATGTGTGGATGTGCATACCACAGCGTGTATATGGAAGTCAAAAGACAACTTTGTGGAGTTTATTTCTCTCCTTTACATGGGTTCTAGGGGTTGAACTCAGGTCCTCAGGCTTGCCTCACTGGCAGCAAGCACCTTCACCTTCTGAACCATTTTACCCACCCCCTTGAATATAGTTTTTAAAAATTATTTCTATTTTATGTGTATGAGTGTATTGCCTGCATGTCAGTGAATGTATTCATGTTATGCAATGCCAGCAGAGGTCAGGAGAGGGCGTTGGATGCCCTGGAACTGGAGTTACAGATAGTTGTTAACTGCCATGTGGGTGTTGGGATCCAAATCTGGGTCCTCTGCCAGAGCAAGCCATTGCTTTTAACCACTTAGCCTTCTCTGCAGCCCCTTGATTATAGATTTAAAACGGATTTATTATTTCAGGTTTTTACAAAGAAAATTCTGTCTTCTTTGCATTATATAGTGCTTAGCAATCTGTGGGGACAGATTAGCTTTTTAACTAGAATTGTTTTCTGACATCTTGATTTTGTTGTTTATTTTTGAATATTTATCTGTAATGTTCTTCAAACATTATTACATTATTTGGGGGTAATTTTCTCATGTTTAAGTAGCTAATATGAGTCCCAGCAATATACTGTTTTTTTCTACTGTTCACGCTAGTTATTTGTGCAATGTCTTGGTTTGGCTCAAAATAATTGTGGTAACAAATATTTATTAGACAGATATGATGAATAGTAAGAGTAGAAATCATATTTATTTTTAAATATTTTTATTAATTCTTTCAGAATTTCATAAAATCTATTTTGATCGGCTTCATCCCCAACTTCTCCCAGATCCACCCCATTTCTCTCCTCACCGAACTTTGTGTCTGATTTTTCTCTAAGCCCATCAAATCCAGTGTGTATTACCCATATGCCCTTGGGTGTGTGGCCATCTGCTGGAGTCTGGTTGGCCTAGCAGGGGCCATACCCTTAAAGAAAACTGACTCTTCGCCCAACAGCTATGAATTGGCAGTTGCTCCTTATGTACTTCTCCTCTCCATGCTGGTATTTTGTTTGGATGGAGATCTTGCAGGTCTTGAGCATGCTGTCACCACCATTGTGAGTTCATATGTGCAACTGCCCTGCTGTGTCTGGAAAGACACTGTTTTGGTGTAGTGGTTCATCACCACTGGCTCTTACGATCTTTTTGGCCCTCTTTTCTGTGATGGTCCTTCAGCTGAAATCATATTTCTTACAAAGTGAAGTAAAACATAGTTTGCATATTAGTCTTATAATTACTAATTGTGAAACTTGTATCTTTTAAGATGTCCTTTGGATAAAGTGACATGGTGCTCTTCTGAGTGGTGTTTGTGCCATTCATAGTTTTATTCTGCAGTGCTCATATACTAAGAGATCTGTTTAGTCCATACGAGCTCCATAGGAAAATCCATCTATGTTCGTTTGATTTGCTGAAGTTCTGTTGTCAGAAAATTGCCTGTCTCTAGGTAGATGCCAAGTGTTTGTTGTTTCATGAGTTAGTGAACAGCTTAGTGTTAAACACTTATTTTCTTTTAATTTCCTACGACAGGTAATATTTTAAGTTCATAAGAGCTTTATAATTCAAACTGGTAAATTCAGTACTGTATCAGTACATGAAAATATACAGGCAACCTTGAGTGCAGCTGGTGTTACTAGGGAGGTGACCTCTTGGTGCTTTTCTTATAATCGTTTCCCTTAAAACTGTGTATGAATTATCAGGTTGGGTTTGTAACTGCCCTCAATCTTGAGTGACTTTAAACAAACTAATAAAATGCACAGTATGGACTTACTTTACATGGTTGAGTGCCTATTTGCTTTTGAAGTAGAAATACCAATTTTGAATTCAAGCTCACTGTATGAAAACTGTCTACAATTTTGTTAAAAAATAATTATTTGACATCAACAAAAGGAATACAGAAACATTTCCAGTTGATTTTAAATTATCAAAGTTAGGCAGGCATGGTGGTATATTCCTGTAGTCCCAGCACTGTAGAGGGAGAAGCAAGAGGATCACTGCAAGTTTGAGGGCAGCCCTGTCTGTAGAGCAAGATTTGAGTCTGAGTGACCTAAATATAACATAGCCTAAGACTGAGTTCCTAGAATTCTGTGGAAAACTTGGTTTGGGGATGTAACTCAGTGGATCAGTGTAAAAGTGTCTACCTAGCACATACATGGTCTTGGGTTCAACCCCAAGTGCTGTTCCCCGCCCCCTACCTCAGAAAAGTGTGGAAGCACCTTTAGAAACTGAGCTGTTACCAGTGTCTCAAATGGGACAAAGCAGATGGAAAACTTAATTGGTGATACTTGCTTTAACAAACATTTCACTGGGCTGTGAGGACCAACCCCTTCCCTGTTTATAATTAATACTCTCAGGCTCGAGCTTTTCCTATCTGTAGAGATGCAAATGTGAAAGACTGTATATATTTCTTCCTGCCATATTTAACTCAGGAGGATTCCTGAGCGCCGTGAAAACAGAGAACGTGGTTGAATATGCTGCATCTCTTCTGGGGGATTCATATTGAAATCTTGAAGAATAGCAATAATAAGAAAATACTTTCTGACTTCTCAAAATTACTGCCTTATTGACAGTGTTTATGAGTACAATGTAAAAACTTGAGCATATGTATGAAAACAGTTATATATAAAGGAATTCATATTTTACTCGACAAGATGTTTTAAGATTTTTACTCAGCTTTAGCTGTCTTTTGAGAATTTAAAAAATATTTTATTATTTTTAGTGTATGTGTGTACGCCTGCATGTAGGTAAGTGCACCTGTGTCGTGCAATGCCTGTGGAGGACAGAAGAGGCTGTTGGATCCTCTGGAACTGGAGTTACAGATAGTTGTTAGCTGCCATGTGGGTGCTGGTGTTCGAATCCAGGTCTTCTGCAATTTTTAAACCATAGAGCCAACTGATGTGGCAGCATGAGCCTTTGATAGCAGAGGCTGGACATCTGAGGGTAGCACAGCAATTAACATATGGACCATGTTTATGAATTGATGGAGGGAGGCACAGAAGGGCAAGATGCCTTCCTGGTCTTTTTGCAGCTTTGACTTAGAATAGGAAAACAAACATATATGAAATGATAAAATGAACAGAGTAAACACCGATAGAGAAAGGGCCACAGAGTACAGCCTAAGGGTTTCTGGAGGCTGAGAAGTGTTTTACAAATGTTCTGAGAAGGAACGATCTCATTGGTTGTGGGAAAATGGACCTAACTTTTAAGTGCATGTTTAGAAGAGGTGCCTTTATGGCTACAAAGAGTGGAAAGGCACTGAGGCAGGTGATGTCCAGAAATACTGAAAGTTGAGGCAGATCAGGGGAGAAGACCAAAGTGGATGTTGATATCATTTTATCATAAATGAAATACTTCTTTCTAGGCCTGGAGGAGTAAATGTTAATGAAATTCAAGTTGGAGCTGAACAGAGAACAAGGGGAAATGAACAAGTCGGTGGTCAGATACCCAGAAGAGGTCAGATCCCAAACAGAGTTTGGGTTGGACCAGCTGTAAGCCAAGGGCTTGTTGGGAAGTTGCAGTTTGTACTGTTTGTGCCCCTGTCTGACTGATATCTCAGCCAATGTCCAATCACTTGGACAGTTCTAGTTTTAGAGGGGCAGTTTCCCATCCTGGTGCAGGAGTGTGGGAGCTCCTCAGGTCTCCCTGAAATGCTATCTTGCCCCAACAGTTGTAGTGAAAGCTCATACATATTTTTCTGACCAGAGTGTTAAAGGTAGCAATTACTTTGTTGACCTGATAATTGAATCTAAGTCCTCGGTTAAAATGATCACTTTATGCTGGTGAAACAGTTTTCCATTTCTCGAATCACTTGTCACCTGTGTATGCGGTGACAAGAAAGTGAAATACTTTACCTGGTATGTGAGAGGAAAAAAATTCTTAGTTTGAGTTTCCATTAAGGTAACCTGGCTAGTTGTCAGTTTGACTGCAGAAAAATGAGTTAAGGTCATTGGAGTCAGACAGACTCTTCCGAAATGTCACTCAAACCTACATAGTTCTCTGGACCAGGATTTCCCACATGTAAGTGGAAGGTCAAGATCAAGTTCAGCTTTGTGGGATCATTTGGAGAAGTACACAGTCTTGAGTTGGACTCTTAATTGGTATTCAGTAAACCTCAGTCTTCTGTCCCTTCAGAACACTTGTATTGCTGGTGGTGTTTGGCAGTGTTATGGGAAGAAAGTCCTAGTCAGTTCTTATGTTTACATATTTAAGGTAAAGAAATCATGTGTTCAGCTTGAACTTCTGATTTTTATTATGTTTGATTG